CCTAGCCTTGTAGACTTCGGACTGATTTTGAGTTCCATACCTGAGTTCTAGAGCAGCTACTAGTGCTCTAAGTTGTGCCTGTCGTCTGCTGACAACTGTACGAGTATTTCGAGTGGTCATCCTATCAGGCTCGTTGCCAGGTACACTGCTTTCTGCTCCTCTGTTCATCCATTCATTTCTGCCAGGAGCTCAAATTGTGCTCTATATGTTTCCCATGCTGCCTTCCAATCGACTTCCTTCGTACTAGATCACCCCTATTGCTGCCACTCATGTCTGGAATGTGACTTCTGGCAGGACTGAAGATGTTTACATTAGGGTTTAGCTGCGGGGTCTGGAAGGGGCCTTTTGTTGTCTGTGGTTTATTAGGCCCATGGTTAAAATATTCTCCCTGTGTAAAATACAGGAAATCGTCCTTTAATGTATTTAATTCACTTTGAAATTTACTAAAATTTTCCATTTGTGTATGCTGGCTTTCTCTCAACTGTTGGAGACTTTCTTCTTGTTTATTTTCTTTCTCCTCCAACCACTGCTGTAGTCTCTCTTCTTGTTCATTTTCTTTCTCCTCCAACTGCCGCTGTAGTTTTTCTTCTTGTTCATTTTCTTTCTCCTCCAACCACTGCTGTAGTCTCTCTTCTTGTTTATTTTCTCGTTCTTCCTGTTTCCTTTCTTTTTCCTCCAACAACTGCTGTAATCTCTCTTGTTTATTTTGCTGTTCGAGCTGCCACTGTTGCAGGTTTTCTTGCCACTGCTGTTGTCTCTCTTCTTGTTTCTCTTCTTTTTCCTTAAACTGCTGTAATGTCTCTTGTTTATTTTGCTGTTCACGCTGCCACTGTTGCAGGTTTTCTTGCCACTGCTCTTGTCTATCTTCTTGTTTCTTTTCTTTTTCCTCTAACAACTTCTGTAATCTCTCTTCTTGTTTATTTTCTCGTTCTTCTTGTACTCACTAAGTAAGTCTTTTCAACAGAGCAAGTATTCAGGTAAAATTGTTAGTGTGCGCAGTAAGTAGAGCTTATTTTGTTCAGTTACAAAAAATAAAGTTTTGTAATATAGGTAATCTTGCAGTTACTTAATTTAGTCATACAGTTAGCCTTGTTTATGTAGGCAGTCTCTAACACTTTCTTTGTTCATTCATCTGAGACAGCATTTTCAGTGTTGGCGGTCTTTAGCACTTGCTTTGTTTAATTAATTAACGTTTGGACTGAAGTTATGAGCATATGTTTCCAGTAAATACCAAATAATGATACAATAAAGCCCAAAGGGCACTTGCCGTTTCGAAGAAAGGGTGCGGTTGGAGGATTCAGCAAAGGCGATTATACAAAAAAAGTGAAATGACGTTGTATAACATTGATGGAAAATAACGTAAAAAATATAAATTTATTTTTAATTATAATATCTTGTAGTTATAGTTTAACAACAGCTGTCAAGCCTTTCGTTATGATGGATTCGAGACGTATTTTCTAAAAACAAGAAACAATTTTACATTAAACGTATTAGCAGCTGATGCGCATGCACGTTCTACCGGTTGCATAAAAAGTAAAAAGGAACATTATTACGTTAAGTACACAGGAATGCGAAGTGTGAAACTCATTGAGCCACAAGAAATATAACGAAACTTTGCACCCGACGGCAGATGCTTTTTGTTTTAATCCTATAACGATTAAGAGGATCGTGACAAGAAAAAATGGATACGTGTAAGCACTCTAGTTTGATGTATCATCACACTTAATAGGTCAATGACTTAATATCATTATAAATTTTGACCACACTTGCCGGTGCTTCAACCTGTCGAAGAACAATTGTATTTTGTTAGTTAACAAGTTTTAAGAAAGCGTATGGAATTTAGTAAAAGTTTTTTAAACATAAAATATAGTGTATGATGGGCAGAGAACAGATAGCCTAATGTGTAGCTTTGTGCTTAACAAAAAACAAACTATTTATAAAGTGGGCAAATAACTTCATGGATGTTAATATATGATTGTTTTTAAGGGGCGAGTAATAACATTTTTAAAGCCTTTTTCATGCTATTTATACATACTTTCAACCCGCATTAATGATAAAGACTACTATTATACAGGATTGAAGAAAAAAAAAAACAAAGCAAAGACGATTTCAAGTATCAGCTACCATTATAACTGGTTACTAAGTTGAAAAAGGAAAAACTTGTTACTGCACAAAGTTTCCGATGTTGATGATAATATTAGTTATTACATAACTGCTTATAATTTAGACACCATGTTTCAAAAATTAACATTAAGGTACTCCCAAAATTTACAAAATATTGAATTATGAAACACAATGATTTTTTTTCAATGTCAAAAATCCCACATTAGGAGTTATTTAATGTCACACGAAAAAATTAATAACATTTCTAAGATGACTTTAATTATTCTTTTTCCAATAAATTGACATATTCGTTTACAGTTTGCATTTTTTTAAATAAACTTTATAATATACAGAACAAGTACACGTGAAATCCTAAATGTACAGTAATAAGTTATTCTATGAGCTCGCTTAAATAATTAAGCATTATTTAACAGCAACAGAAAAAACTAGAAGGCTTGTATGACTTTCAGGTCACGTGACGAAGGTGGATTATAGACGGTGTCCTCGGTAATAGGATATATTACCGAGATATTTTGGCGTTTCCCTACTTGGAAACTTAAACATCAACTTAAAATGTTTAACTTGTGTTCCCCATACGCTAGCTTTCACTAAAATATACTCGTGCATGATTATTGATATGACATAGTAAGGCTAACCAATAGAAAAGTCTATTCTCAAAATCCTTATTATTGTCAGATCAATCAAATTTACATAAAATGATTAATACTTTTTTCATGATATTTTGTTACATTTCCTATAATTTATTGCATGTGCCAGTACTTCACCATACTCTGATTAGAGTTTAGGTATTTACAACACTCATATACTAACGAGCGAAATATGTGTAAAGGTTACTCTGTTAAGAAGATTTAAGGATATCCAGCAGTGAATTATTTTGATTTGCTTAATTTAAAAAAATGTGTAATTAGACATTGTTTTAAGATTCTCTTAACATTTTCCGTGTATTGTCCAAATGGTTAAAAACGATTTCCATTTTCCCTTTGAAAGTCTTTAGTGGTATGTGAAAATGAGGTAAGGGAATGTAAATGATGAAAACCTTGTTTTCTCATCAAACTCTACAATTTTTATTACTATTCCTTGATTAATCACTTTTGATTCACATTATCTAGTATTTCTGGATTAATCTTCTTTAATTCAAATTATCTACTGATTCTGGTTTAACCAGTCTGGTACGGCCTGGTGGTTAGGACATTTTGAGAATCATGGGTTCGAATATCATCCCCGGAAAAGCTTGCTTTTCATCCATGGGAGCTTTATAATGTGATGATCAATCCTACCATTCGTTGGAAAAAGTAGTCCTAGAGTAAGCGGTGTGTCATGTTGAATAGTTATCTAAATTATGGACAGCTAGCGCAGATATCCTTCGAGCAGCTTTTGGTGAAATTCAAAATAAACAAAGCTAGATCAATCGCTTTTAATTCACATTACATACTACTTCTGGATTAATCACTTTTGACTCGCATTCGCTACTGGTCTGGGTTTAATCATTTTTGATTCACATTATCTAACTAATAGCTACAGGGTTAAAATGAATCCACTAAATACATTTTACAGTTATTTTTTTATGTTTTTATAAGTCTTTTATTACATTTTATGAGAACATTTTTTTTTCTATTTCGCTCTCACCGCAACTATTAAAGCGACAGAGAGTTTAATAAGCAAAACATCTAGGCCTAATTTTAACAGGAAAAGGTCATCTTATAAATAAAGGCAGTCTGACAACCAAACTTTATGTGTACCTGCATGTTAAGAAACTAGTAATTATTGGTTAGATAGAATTTTGGTGAACCTTCTCCGTTGCTCATCAATGTTGAAGTATTTTGGGTAAATATACCATACATATGTATGTGTGTGACGATTAACTATAATATCCCTTGGTAAATAATGAAAAAATGATTTCCTTTAAATCAGCATATATAAAATACAGCATTGCGAGTTTGATGTCTCATTTGTTTCAAACAGAGCGATCGATTTATTTTTTATATAATGTTGGGTAAGAAGAAGCTCAGTTAAAAAACGAGCTTGAATAACACGCTCAGTTGGCTGTAGATCAATAAGTACAACGTATACAAGTGTGTGATTTATTTTTCTTTTTAAATAGAATCAAACACATGTCTTGATACCCAATCTATGTGATGTTAGTTCACAGGAAATCAATATCATAGTCATTTG